TAGGTCAGACAACTCAATGTGAGTCTTCCTGAATTTCGCAGCAAACCATCGAGATGTCTCGGAACTCTTTGAATACTCGCGGTTCTCTGCCAGCTAAATGTGTTCATCTATGCATCGAAGCGTTTACAGAATTGATGACTAAGTAAGTCGCCCTAACCGTGCGATCAAGCCATACGGTAAAAACCGGTTGATCGAGCAGACCTTGATTCCAGGCGTTATGCAACGGTGGCACAACGTTGCCAACGCCGGTCGACATGAACGTGAGGCCAAAAATTCCATCTAGTTCCTTGCCTTTGAACGCGCTGCTGAGTGCTAGCGCTTGCCCAAATACCGTATTCGGTACCACTAACTGATGCGATCCTTTCGCACCGACCTGAAACACTCAACAGACTTCATCGGTCTTGTGAATTTGAATAAGAATCTTGAAAACTCGTCAATTTGCTTTTAAGTTGATCTTTTTTTTTGCCAGAATGCTGTCGAATTTTGATCATGCGATGCATATTGGCGGTGATCAAATTGATTCATGCNTTTTTTTTGCCACAATGCTGTTGAATTTTGATCATGCGATGCATATTGGCGGTGATCAAATTGATTCATGCCAGATCTAATTGTGAGTATAGAGTGGCATTTTCAGATGCTGCAAACTTCTCGTCGCAAGCTAGCAAATGTTTCAGACTGCATGAGTCAATAAGGTGTAATTATTGGATTAAATTGACTCGATCAGCTTTTCTCCAGGAAACGGTCCTGTTCAAGGAACTGCCTAACAATCGGACAACCAATGACATGTCTCTGATTATTATGCAATTGTTCTTGGTCAGCTCAATTCTACGCGCTTGTTCTTATTCAACCACCTGGATTACCTGGATGGCCAGAAGTTTATCCAACGTTTGTAAATTTGCTGACCACAGTGCTCGCAATGTTTCCTTTCGCACTGTTTTAGCCTTGATTTCAGCCACCCCGCTGGCTAGAGGAGCGGGCCAACCGAAAGAACACCACCGAATAATTAATCAGTTGAAAGCCGTGAATACT